GTTTTGTAATTAGCGAACGTAAATGTTTGTAAATATGCGCACTTAAGACGACGTATGTTGTATGTTTATCTAAATGTTATGTTTGAACAGGCTGGTTTGAAGCGAAATTTCTTAAAACAAGATCTAGAAACGTCGAAGAATGACACAAAATTAAAATTAATAGCTTTTATAGCTAAAAGCAAACGTGACCAAGAGCAGGTGAATTCGGTATTTTATGGGTGTTTTTATTTCCGCTGTTTTAAGATCGTTGCAGGCGGCGTTTTAAGTGACTCTCAATCATCAAATCTTAGCAACAATTGCCATGATAGATTGAGGCAACATAAACCGTACCAAATAACAGTCATGTTTAATTAGAGAAGTATTGGATCGGCTGCACTTTTTTCATTTGTATTAACGGGGATAAAAGAAAGGAAAAGAAAGAATCTTACACCTCTAAATAACGCGCTGAAATATCTACTTTATATCGCTGGCGGTGATATAAAATTGAAAGTTGACACAGGAGATACAATCTAGAACTGAGAAAGATAAGCCGTTGTCTTGAATCTCTGAACACCACAGGTCTTCGTGATACACGTCAACAAGACCCATGAGACTGATAAGTCGTGATACAAGAATGAACTTGCCTTGGAATGGAATTTTATTTGCTTTTCTTTTGGTAATATTATTCACTAGCAAAGTAAAAGGGAGTAGCAGCCCAACATTCTCGCGTCAAAAAGAACTCAGTTTACAACGACAAAATCAGCTATCGCCTACTCATCTCTGGTATCCTATTTATAAAGAAACCTTCTTGTTTTTTTTGGCAGTAAGCTTTGCTATATGTTGCCTATATGTATGTCTTAGCATGACATTTTGTCAAGAACACTTTTATTTTATGCCACTTCCAGAAACCAAGGCAGACCCTCTGAGATATGTTTGACTGAACGGCGCATGCAGTGTCTTTGACGTTTTTATTGCGTTCATGACTCCATTATTTGATTTTACTCTTTTACTTCACGGAGACTCCACACAATTTTATCGTTGTTTTATATGGGCACGTCATTATATTGTTCAGTAGAACCGAACCAAACGATTGTATGGCATGAAGCACTGACCTGGTTGATTTTGGATCATGAATATCAGAGGGATCACAGATCAAGTGACGTTAAGGAAACTAACTTATCATTCTAAAAGTTCCCGTTAATAGTTAAGCGACTTGCTAAAGTAAAACTGAAGTCATTATAATGAAGGCATTAATTCACATTTAATCCTGAACCACTTAGCAGAAGACTGCTTAATTCCTCAAATATTAGTTAATAGTTAACCTTCAATTGCTTTGAATCAAACCGAATATGCTAGTGAGACTGACATCAGACCAGATTTGATTCAAATGCTATTGAACCAACACTGTGTACGTGATGGAGTAAGTAATCATCATTGTACAGTGGTGTCTGTGTGATAAAGGCTAGAAATATTGACTTGTACTGTTAGCAGTGCTTTATAGAGTTGTCGGCTGAAGGGGGTTCGTTTTACAGTAAATATAAAAGGAAATCTTTAGGACCTGAGCTAGTGTCCGCTTGATAAAGGGTGTCCGCTTATATAAAGGTTCCGCTTTTACCTATACCTAACTCTGAAAGTAGTTAGGGATAGTTGTACCATTGATATGAACACGATCAAGCTTAATAACTGATGCTAGCGCTTAAACTGAGATCAAAGACTAGTTTAGCCAATTTTGACAAAGTGGTTTGTTCTGATTAACATTGCATACCGAGCCTTACAAGACACGCCCAGCACTCAGAATAACCCACATATATTTGTTCAAATGTTATCGATATCTTGAAACAACCTCTGGCTTATTAAAGCCAAAGCCAGCTAACTGAGTCAGATAAAACCCTTAAACAGCCCCTGGGCTGATCTAAGTCAGGGCATGGCTAACTCACAGATAGAACCCTGAAACAACCTCAGGGCTGATCTAAGTCAGGGCACGACTAACTCACAGATCAAACCCTGAAACAACCTCTGGGCTGATCTAAGTCAGGGCACGGCTAACTCACAGATTGAATTAGAACTTGGCTTGTTAGTGGTTTTACAGAGACAAAAAAAACACAAATTCATTCTTGTGTGATTATAAATTATTTTATTTAATATGTGGCGAAATCGTCATGTTGCATCACGTGAATGATGATATAACACCAAGTCCAATACCGCCGGTGTTGTCGTCACGCAGCCGGCAAGCATCATTTAACTGAAGAAACTTGCTTCATCTGCGTTAAATTACTGTCTAGACAGTTTCATTCAAACTCATATGGAAACTAAATATTACAATCCAAAATGATAATAAACTACGTAATACATCGTGCATTGTAAAGTAAAAGATGTATAAATACAATGATGGTGCCAGTAATATTTACATAGTCCTTTACTCCTAGTTTCTGATTGATTGTCTTTTCACTTGATGTTGTCATTTCAATGACGTAAGTGACCATTGTGGGAATTTAATGGACGGAAGTACAATCTTCAGTTATCTAAAACCAATTCTATCAATATTTTCCGCCGGCAAATGATTTTCTAAAGGTCATCAATTTAACTTTCAAAGATTCGAATATATACAGCGTAGAAGCCCCCTGCAATCGCGGCTCAAACAACCTTGTACATCCCACCAATAGATGAACCATTTAACAGTACTGATCAGGAGTGAAAAGATGGCTTTGACTACTATAGTTTGTGTGTTGTATGTAATGGCCATGATAAACACGCCTAGTTCAGCACAACAGATCGACCATCAGTATAGTAGCATGGATACATCTTTTGCTGTCGTATTTGTAGTAGTATTTATGGCGGGATTATTTGGATGTATTGCATATACGCTCTACAATCTTCACTTTCATCCTGTTGACTTGGAGCGTTTTGCAATTAAGAAACAGGAGATTTGAATGCTACTGTGTGCATGTGTATTCATTAATCTAACTAACTTCATCAGCGGCTTCTCTACATCTTTATATACATGGTCAGTATCGTATGGGCTTGGCGAGCGAGAGTTGGATGAGAACTTGAATGCATTCAGTTAAAGAACTGTATGTTGAACACCTGTCAGTTACGAACCTCTCTTTCCTCTCCTGGCTGCTCATTCCGTGCTACGGACTCAACCCAATACAAGGTTCTTTCTTTATTGATTGTTGTCTTTACTTACGTATTACGAAGGCAAACACTTGCTCAACTTGTCAGGGATTCCTCATCGTGTAGTCATATAAAGTCATGCCTTTTTCCAAATTATCGTCTCGGTTGACAATCTTCAATCGTAGATAGTCCGAATGAAAAAGTTAACATCGTACAGAATAGTCCAAAATAAACACTTTTCCATGTGAATTTATCACTTTTCGTGACAAATTTTGATCGCTGTTCATGATTGATTGTGTTTGCCTTTCTGTTTTATAGAACCGTCAATTAACTGTCCGACTGGCATCGTGTAGTTAGAGATAATTAGAGAAGCCCATTTCAGTTCGTAACCAAGACCCATACATACAGGCAGCAGCGACAACGACGACGACAACAATGACGACAACAACACGTGTTAAAGAGGCCCCCGTACGATTAAGTTATTAGTTTGTGCCCTCAAGAGGAATTGGTTATTTAGGCTCTCTGCATGTGATCCCAACAACGTAAAATAGTCGACCGATAATCACTAAAAACAATATCTAAGGTTTCCGGCTTCCGTATAGTATTTATATACAGCTCTGTAAAAATCCAGAGATCATAGACCATATGAAAAATGGCGTAACCCCTGAGATACCTTAGTTCATCAGTTATATAAGACAACAATGCTTTCATGATAAAGAGCATATCGGCGATATTATAGATTTTTTTAAATTTCACTGTACAAGTAACATTAAATGATAATAGCGCAGCGCAACCATGACGTCATAAAAACGAAGACAAAGGCGAAATTCGGACAAACAAACTTACAAGTTTACTTTCAGCAGATAATTTTCACAKCCGATCGCAGTTGATCTTAGTTTACATGGGTTATTATTGTAACTTTAAGTAAAAATAATAAAATCGGTTCGTATAATCCTCGTAGCGGTTCAACAGAATGCAATGTTTGTCCGAATCTTTAAGCTATTTTTAGAATCAGTGCGCTGCGCTATTAAAGCTACAGCTGTTTGAAATTGTACTACCGATGCTCTACCAGCTGAGATAGAGGTCAGACTGAGAGCAGACCGGGGTGAAATAGATGTTAGGTAGCGGTAATATTATATTTCATCTATTACATTATTTCAAACAAAGACTTTGAACATTAACGAAATAAAGCATGCAGGCTACCTATGTAAAGAAAGTGTGCAAATGATGTAACAATAAACTAGATCTAGAAGTAAACAATAGTATTTTGATAGGATTAGGTTGTAACAAAAGGCTAATATTGGACTAATAGTGTTGTAGTGTTTACATCATAACTGTTGTCGTTATGGTAACTAGTAAATTCTGCTGTTACCAACCTTGGCTGTGACGAACCTCTTCTAGTGTATCGTGACAATATCTTGCCTTACTGCATGGTACGACACTGCGCCACCATTTTTACACAGGTTTTATATCATGGGGAGCGGTGCATCCAAAAACGAAACTTTTCAAGTTAACGAAGCAGAAGAATTCGAAGAAAACTTGTCCCAAAGAGTGGTTCTTGTGACTGGTTCGTCTTCTGGTGTCGGTCTTGCTGTTGCAGCCTTGCTTGCAAATGATCCTCAAAAGCGTTTTAAAGTTTACGCATCGATGAGAAATTTAAGTAAGAAAGAAGCCCTAGAAGAAGCAGCTCAAGGGGTGTTGGGAGATCTGCTCGTAATCATACAACTTGATGTGTGTTCTGACCAATCCGTCAAGGATGCAGTCGATGAAGTCATGAAGAAAGAAGGGAGAATCGATATTCTAGGTGAGTGAACTAATAATGTCTTGCAAGACACTCGCAGATTAATTTTAATTGCTTTTAAAAGTTTTTTATTTCTTTATATTAAAGTTAACATTCACCATCATTGACTCAACATTATGAAGAGTATGATTACTTAGACTCTATATGGTACGCCAATACTGTAGAAATCAGCTTTTATTGAAAATATGTTAGCGTGGATAAATAAAGGTTTGTCATCATCAAGTTGATCCTGCACATACGTGATTGTTGTTTTTTTATGACACAGTGAATAACGCAGGCATGGGCTTGTTTTGTGTGGCTGAATGTGCCAACATGGAAAAAGTCAAGAGCCTCTTCGACACCAATGTATTTGGTTTGATAAGGATGACAAATAGCGTAGTCCCCCACATGAAGAAGCAACAGTCTGGCCATATCGTTAATATTAGCAGTGTTTATGGACTCATTGGACTACCATTTGGTGAGCTTTACAGTGCTACCAAGTTTGCTGTCGAGGGTTTCACGGAATCATACGCTCCACTGCTTCAGAAATTCAACATCAGGTAAATTTACGAAGCATAATTTTTTTTCTTAGCTTTATTTGACTCAAGAGGAAGTGCCCTTTTACAATGAACATTTCAACCACCTGTAGGTTTTCAAATAAGGGACGCTGCAATAATTATCGTGAGGGGGGGGTGGGGGTTCTAAAATCCTCCAAATTGGGCTTTTAAATTGAAGCTAACCCCCTCCCCCCTGTGCTAAACGTAAAATAACTTCTCACCCCTCCCCATTCTGAAATGAAAAAACTACGACGTTTCGAAGTCGTCAATGACTGGGCTTTCTTATTTGAATTTGTTTTCATAGAATAGTAAAGTATTAATAGAACGAAAGAAAGTATGCAAGGGATTCTGGAGTTGTAGTTAATGACGTTATATTAATGTAAATGTCCTATACAATCCACTTAAAATTCTTACATGTTTTTTTTATTATAGTTTTGACTCACTTAATAGTCGCCTATATATCGTTTTAGGTCCACTCTAATCGAGCCCGGTCCAATAGCTACAGAGTTTGCAGTCAAAGCAAAGGGAATACGAGACGACATCGATATCTCCTCTACTGACGACCAAACCAAGTCACTGTTGACGTCATACTTACAATCATATTACCACAGTTTCAAGAATCTAAGTGAATCCCCCACTGACGTGGCTGATATCGTAAAAAAGGTCCTGCTACTCAAGAACCCTCATCTACGATATCAAACAAACAAGCGATATCGACAGCAGGAAATAGCTGCAAAGCTTCTCGACACCACAGGAGACAAAATTGTAAAACTATTGGACACCAGCGAGGCCAGTACAAAGACTAGTTAGAGCAGATGGSGGATTTGGAATAGCAGTTACACATATTATGAATGAGAACAAAATACACCGTACAATATAAAGTAAAAAAACTAAGAAACAAAATAAAAGGAAAGGAAAAAAGAATATAGGAAGAGTTTTTGACGAGCGAGAATTTAGTGTGTGTAGAGATTAAGAGATGATCAGTTCTCATTGATTAAAGAAAAGGGAAGGTGATTCTTGATCCTGCTTTGCACTTAATCCTTTTATATTTTAGTATTAAAAGGTTTATTAAATTTTTGCAATTCCTGTCATATTCTGGTTTGTTTGTTCTGGGTTGCCTGTGTTTCTCTACTTCGCTCGATACGCACGGTGTACGCACTCTATCTCACAACATGGCTCCTCGTATCGTGGTCATCACTGGCTGTTCTAAAGGCATTGGTTTTTCTACAGCTGTGCTTCTAGCGAAAGACCATCTGAAGCGATATAAAGTATACGCTACGATGAGAAATCTAGACAAGATAGAATTGCTAGAAGAATCTGTAAAGGAAGAGCTGAATCAGACGATGTTCATCAAGCAGCTAGACGTGACCTCAGATGAATCAGTAACTGATGTTCTAGAAAGTATCTACAATGTTGAGGGTAGGATTGATGTTTTAGGTAAGCACTGTATGAATTCATTTCTTCGACTGAAATGCGTAATAAATATTAATTAATCACCTTCACCTTCACTCCCCCTGAATCGACCGAACCTCTCGATTATATATTATATTCAGTCTTGTTACGGAAATCTTTGTACGTATATAGTGACAGTGTTTGTTTGTGATCCATCTAGTGAATAATGCCAGTATTGGTCTAATGGGTATTCTCGAGACGCACCCAGCTCAGTTGACAAGACAAGTCTTTGATACGAATTTCTTTGGTGTTGTACGTTTGACTAAAGCAGTAATCCCCAAAATGAAATCCAATAGAGAAGGTCATATTATCAATATTAGTAGCATGGCTGGCGTAAATGGGGTACCTTTTAACAGTATTTACTCTGCTTCGAAGTTCGCTGTTGAAGGAATGTCCGAGTCACTGGCACCTTTACTCAAAAAATTCAATGTTAAGTAAGTAGTTTTTAGAATATACTAGTTAAATGACCCGAACGTCATTCAAACCTGTACTGATATAAATATCTATCCCTTTAGGCTGTCAATTATTGAGCCTGGTCCAATAGCGACTGAGTTTAATACCCCCGATACAAATACAGATGATCAATACGAAGGAGTTGATGAAGAAACCAAGCAGTTGCTGGCAAATGCCGTGACCAAAATGGAAAGTGCCCTTGCAAATATGGCACAATCACCCGATGAAATAGCACAGAATATTGCCGATGTACTTGTGGAAGAAAACCCTCATCTTCGTTATCAAACTAACAAGATGTATACGATGGCTACCGCAGATAAACTAACAGACCCTACAGGAGATAAGACGCTCGAGACCATCTACCAAAAGTTCTTCTCGTAAATTATTAGAAAAGAAAATTATTAAGAATATATTGATAAATATCCAATGCTACGTGACAAACATGCAATAAAAGTATGTGACATGACAATTGCATCAGGTCATTAAGGGTGTGTCAGATAACAGCAGATTCACAAGTGCATGTCAGTTATCACTTGGGTTTAAAAATAAAGGAAATTCCTATGTCAGACTGACACTATTCTTAAAACATTCATGTTTACTCTCTGCTCGACTTTTAAGTACAATCAAACAGTCAGTATCAAAGGTGGGAAGGTTTATTTTTTTCTGTCAATATGTAAGTAGTATTAAATAATCCTAAAAATCTTAAAGGGTTTTTTGAAAAAAAAAATACATTGTGATTTTTAAAAAAACCAGTAACACAATCTGCCTTCAAGGATCGATCCTGTCACGCTGCAAGATGATCCTTTTAGCTGATTACATTCCAAACAGTGATCTATCTCACAAACGTCCCCAAAAAGTTTCCGCGTATCCCTTATTCAATGTGATACTGAGAATGCCATTGACATCTACTCTCCGGCGATCAGTACAAAACAGATTGGAATAACGACATGGAAAACCTGCGATATCAGCTCGAGTAATGACTGTCAGATGTTGGGCGTCCGAATATCGTTAGTTAAATAGTGACATCACAAATTGATGAGCTATCATTCACTCATTCTTTGTATAGATAACTGGTTGGTTTAGTTTTGAGCACTACGTACGTACCGACACTGTCATTCGCTTTTGAACCGACAATATGGGGGCCGTGAAAAGTCGTTTGAATGCATCAAAAAGGAAAGATACTTTGGACTCGGCGCATGATGATACAACTCCTAAAATCGTTCTCTTGACAGGGACTTCGCACAAACTTAGTTTAGAATTCGCCTTGACTCTGGCAAATGATCCCTTCTCGAGGTTCAAAGCTTTGGTCACCATGCCATCACATGTAGGCACTGAATATTTGGGAGATCCACGAGTCCTGAATACACTCAATAAAACACTCTTCGTCCTGCAAATGGATGGGTTTTCGGAAGACTCCATTCGTCGCGTTGTCAGAGAAATCTTGGAGACCGATGGCATTTTAGATTCGCTTGGTATGTATGGGTTTGTTTATAGCCTTTGACTGACAGTAAACATTATACTATAGGCAACTAAATATATCCTATTATACATTGGGATAGTTCTCGTAGTGGTTTTTGTAAAGGTTCGATCATCAAGCTTCCTAACGGAGCGCATATGCTATCGGTGCTATATGGGATAAAAAAATGGCGTAAAAATATTCTGCTTGATATGAAGAAAAATTGCTAACAGATAGCATTTGATCTCCTCTGAGTTAGAGATGATGATTATTGATCAGAAGTTACTTAACTCCAATATAGTCAATACTATATCAACATTGGCCTCTTCAGATGATGGACGGCTATAGATATGTGCAAATAGACTATCAAGCAAGGATCGAGTCAATATATATAGTATTGACCGTACACTATTAACAATATCAAACAGTCAACCAATAGTTATTAGATGGATATGAAGTCTATAAGAACATCAATAGGCGGATGAAAATATTTACAAATCAGGCTTCGTGTCAGTATTTGTTTACTTTACTACTAGAACACTAGAAATTAAAAAGACGGACAGATAGACAAAAAGTAAATATGGATACGGCTGTCAACAGACAGATATTCTTTACATTTGCATGGTTCTTTGGATTATCACCTTGACGGCAAGCCCCATATAGGTTGCTATCAATAGACGTCACTTCCGGTAATAGCTCTTTTTTGATGGCTTGTAGAATCCTGGAGGTTGTTTTGATCTCTTGTTTTCTGGTTTGATGTCGTGAAAATAGTCAAATACAATAGTTTGAGGACTTATTTTGATATGTTTTGACTTAGCATCCGCTAGTTGCCCCCCAGTGAACCGCTTGTTTGCCCCCAAGTCAACTCCAAAAAGTCACGTGATTGATAGTAAGCAATATGATAAGGGCAGCTATTATTCTCCTTTCTGACTCTATTCATTTATATTCCAGTAATCACCTCCAATGTACTTCTCACTGGCCCCATTGAGACCCATTCTATAGACCAGGCAAAGACTGTGTTCGAGACAAACACCATGTCAGTGATCGAAGTAGTCAAGTGTATCTTTCCCGTTATGAAGAAGCAACGTGATGGTCGTTTGATTCTGGTCACCAACCAAGCAGGGATATCTGGGATACCTTTTCATGATATTTATTGTGCTAGCAAGTTTGCAGTTGAAGGGTTTTTTGAAGCTATTGCCCCCGAAGCGTTGGCATTCAATATACAGTAAGTAGGCGTGTTTAATTATTAGACAGCATGAAAAACAAAAAAACAAAAATATGTTGTTTGTTTGTTTACTAGTGCATCGATCATCGAGACCAGCCTGGTCAAAGGGGAAGATCAAACAGCTCAAACACTTCAAGTATCTATTGGCTCCAAGATGGAAAACGCAGATGAGGACACGATTAAATACCAAGACTCGTTGCCAGGGAAACTGAAACGACAAGGCTCCCTTAAAAAAATGAACATATCTCGGGTTGTCAATACCATGCGCCAAATCATGTTGGACGACAAACCTCATTTTCGTTATCAGCTGAATAAAAGTTGTAGAGAAGCGGCAAGAGAAAAATGGAAGGACACCCAGGGCGATTCGTACATACTGGAGACAGCTGAAAGACAATTGTACGTAGAAACAGAGCGAGTACAAGAAGCTTACAACCAATGTTAACCTGCTGCTGCGCATACATGCCTCATGTTATTGTTGTTGTGTTGGTGCAGTGCGATAGACTACAGTAAACAATCCACACAAATAAAAACGAAGAAGTGGATGAAATAAGTATTTTTCTTTTCTAAGAAACACGCGCTGTCAGTTACTTGAAGAACAACTACCGTAGGACGGCACGAGTGAAAAACGTCTGCGCATGCTCTGAATCCGTATGCTAAATAGTCAAAACGTATGTAAATTTGACTTTCAAACATGCTTGGTAAATTTGACTTCACAAAATGCCAAAACTTAGTGTCCATGCTCGAAATTTAAGGCTAATTCTTTCATATTGTATTTGTTAAGACAGTATCTTGGTCTGACAAAAGTATACTCGCGAAATTGTTTGTATACTTTGAGAAAACAAACATTTATTTTCTCACTCAAACCCTTCAAACGCAAACGTTTTTCTCTAGTCTCGATCCCGTAGGACTGAACACGACTGCTGACAATACTGTGTAGCAAACTATCACCTGACTGGCCTCTAACAAAGGATTTTAAAAACTGGAAAGTTTATCGGCTCAGTTCTAACTCGAAATCAGAAAACTATTTAATTCAGCGTTTTTTGTTAAGCGCCGTCAGAACAGGATCAAGATGCCTATCACAATATAACATAATTAATGATCTGCAGCTGATTTGAAGGATATCCTACACATTAGTGTAGTGCAGTGCGAGCGAGGCTCATCGTGAATGAATGAATGGACTTTATTTCAAGAGGGTAACACACAACAGTTTATAATTTGAAAACAATTTATACTGATAACCCAGTGGCCCTTAAAAAAAGAAAATGATAATAAATAAATAAAATAAGATAGATGATAATAAATAACCTTAAATATATAAAATTTAAATGCCTAGAATAATATAACTAATTAATGATGTCCTAATTAAGAGTTATTTTAAGTAAAATATGAACAAAATATTATAATAGTAGTATTTCTATACTATATAATACTAAAAGTAACATATTAAAAATTTGAAAATTGACGAAGTGCCGAAGAAAGGAAAGGAAATAAAACTTCCCATCAAATGTTGATCATATCAAATCTAATTGGTATTTTTTTATGAATAATTGTTTGTTGTAATTTAATTTCCTATTTTGCAACATGATACTAAAGATAACTAAGTGTATGAGAGGGAGAAATATGAGAAATACCTATAAATTAAAAAGATTAACTAGCATACTGAGATGTAATATAATTGTCAAACATTAAATGCTAAGCATTCTCTCTGTTTCTCGATAAGATCTTTGTATAACCTTTGTTTAAAGCCGCTTTTTAGCGATTGAGATGTCTTAATCTTGATGTCAAGATTGTTCCATGTAGCACGAACTGTGAAAGTTCCTCCTCCTTCCGTTTGTCTATGGAAGAGCGGACATCTAAAGTTATATTTACTAAAATGAGTGTTTCTGTTATGAATATCAGCATTTGTTGAAATATGTTCTTTAATACTATCTGGGGTTTAGCCTGTCCTGCAAATCGGTTGAACATGATTGATCCATTTTCCATAACTGTAACTTGATAAAATGGTAACCAAACAAGAGATTCAAACAACTTAAGTTTATGGAACGTGATTTAAAGTCGTCATCCAAAATAATCCTAGCAGCCATTCTTTTTTGGAGTTTTTGAAGTCGAAACAGTTTATTTAGGCTGTCTGTACCACAGGTAGACCTCACAGGAGAAGCATAAGTCAATGTAGGCTTGATGATAGTGTTATAACAAATTTCTCGTTGTGGACGCGTTTGGAAACCTGTAAAGATAAATCGTCCACGTGTGCTTCATGATTTAGGACATGTTCTGATACTACCCCGAGAACTTTGTGTTTGCTGACTTTTTAAATTGAATATCCATTTATTTTATTGTTAAGTTCCGTTTCTTCATTGTTTAAACGCTTTCGTAGACGTTTTCCAGCGATGAGCATAGTTTTTGTCTTACTGTCATTGATGTGCAACTTGTTCACGGCTGACCACTGATGAATCTTGTTCATTAATCTGGTTTGACAGTGTTGATAATTTATTTATCTTAGAACTCAAGGACATTGTAGCATCATCAGGGAGAAAGGTCATTTTCGTATTTGGAGTGTATAGTTGCAAGTCATTTATAAAGATCAAAAATAGGACTGGACCCAAGATGGAACCTGCGGGATGCCATTCTGAATTTCCAATAGACTTGATGTAGCAGAATTGACGACTTTTACGCATTGTTGTTGGCTAGATAAATACGAGGTGAGCCATTTGAGTGCTAACCGACCAAAATTATAGATTTCCGATTTTTTAAGGAGAATACAGTACGTTTTGTAGAGAGGAATTACTTCAGCAATTTTCCATTTACTAGGAAAAGATCCTTTAGCTATTGATTGGTTGAACAATCTCGAGATGGGATCAGCTGTCATGCTGTGATGACTTTGTTATATCAAGAAAACGAGTTTTTTTACTTCTTCAAACTCTCGTGCTTCTAAACAAAAGTCGGTGACCCCCTTTTTTATTTTTATTTTCCTTTACAAGTAATTCATATTACCAAATTTTACAGGAAAAAATAAATAAAATCTGACCATGGAAATAAATCTAAATCACATATTGCTGCTTTCCTTTGTCGCACCTGATACCATATGTATTTACTTGATAAAAATACCGTCTATACACTACAATCTACTACAACAAACAAGTATCGGAAAAATACCCAGAGGCTCTGCACCATCACGTGATGGCAGCAATGACAGGAAGCAGGAACAATTGAATCTGGTCTAATCTGATTTACATGAGAAAGAATTCAGTTTCCCCGGAGAAAAACGACTGTACTGTTGTGCCTCTTGTCGTGACTGCCATCACGTGATGGTGCAAAGCCTCTATAAAAGAAAATTACAAGTCATTAAAGTTTTTGCACTCCCATGAGAGGTACACAAAGACACTTGGGATAGCTTGGAACCCTTCCCCTATCCTATATTCACAGTCACAGAAGTCACTATATACAATAAAGTTAGTTTTTTAACAGTCCAAGTATGCAGAGTTTGGATCACTCTCACCTCAAGGTGACTATATCTATACACTATTCACTACACAAAACAGTACTACTATATATTATTAGCTATATACTATACTACATGTTAGTATCGCGATCCTCCTACAAGTTTGATCGAGAGAGAGCCGCCAATATAAACCCGTATTGTCGGTTCAGAATTACCGCGCGTGATTGGCTCATGAGATTTGATTGACGGCGAAAACAGCACTTTTTTGGTATCTCAGTCTGGTTTGTGAATGCAACGGTTCACATTGGAATCTCAACATCGATGGCGGAAAATTTATTTTTTACATGTTTTACATCCTTTTATTACAACTTTGATCTTCATAACTTATTTCCTGACTTGTGATACACAAAGATAATAACATGATATGCTGTTCCTACGCTTTCTGCTACAGGTGAGTGAAAAACAACGCCAAATATTTGTTTTCATTCAAACTAAACTTTCGAAAAAAAACTCGACTTTTAGAAGTTATTTCACGACAAAAATAGTTGTAAAATCATATAAATTCTCTTATTAACTATTTATTTTACAAAGTAGAGTAATAAAATTAATTCTAGTGTTAAAAGTACAATCAAAACAGGTCAAACTTACGAAAAACTTGCGAAAACTCAAAAATGTGCTCGACAATTTTAGGGTGACCACTGTTAGGTAGTGAGAATTTCAAACCAATCAGGCTTTTTTGTAGTCTCCCCCACAGCCGTGACGACACTGAAAGCGGCTGTGGGGGAGACTAGCTTTTTTATCGCTTTTTTCTTCATTTTAAGATTTAAGAATAGGAGGATCGCGATACTATACAATATATTATTAGCTAAAGGAAAAGGTAAAGTAAAGTACCTATATTTAACGTCGGTAGTTCCTTCAGTTGAAATTCAACTGTTATCAATGGAAGCCGACGGTGCGCACTTTACCCCCTCTCTCCATCAGTGCTCTGTTTTAAGAGTATTTAAAGCTGAAGCTACACGGATTAGAGAGAAGTCGAAACAGATGTGGAGATCCCAAGGATCGAACCGTGGACCTCGAGCTCTGAAGGTATAGAAGTATATACTATACTACATGTTATTAACTATACTATACAATATATTTTTAACTATTCTATACTACATGTTATTAGCTATACTATACAATATGTTATTAGCTATACTATACAATATGTTATTAGTTATGCTATACACTATATTATTAGCTATACTATACAATACATTATTAGCTATACTATACAATATATTATTAGCTATTAGTTCTAGCAGAACCAAACTAAACCAGTCAAACACTCTCGTCCTTTTCTGTTTCCCGGCCGCGCAGACTTGGTCCAATAGCAGATCTCAATCGATCCCAGAAGTGTGGCCTGACATCTTCATTGAAGTATTCCAGATAAGTCTTTGTCTTGCGATAATGTTGCAAAGGCTTGGGTAATTCATGCACGGGAATGTTTTCCACCAGAACGAGTATCAACACATCATGCCCTTCTGCTAGCCTTCCTTGTGCAAGCTGCATTTCGAAAAATGTCCAAACTCCCTTGAGAAAGTTGCGAGTAACAACTAAGAGAGTCTTACGACTCCTGAATACACTATTTGCGATATTATCAGTAATGAAGAGACCTGCTTCAAAGTCTTTGAAATCAATGCACACACTATGGGTGGTGGTCAATTCTGCATAAAGACAGTTTTTAACAAAATCCCGATCCAAACTCGAATACGAGACGAAAACATCAAAGTCTAAATCACTATCGTTGCCAGCTCCTGGTGCGTGCATCAAAAGCTGTAGATTCTCTACCGGTATTTCGATGTGCATGTCATCCGCGTGAAGAAGAAGTGGATTATCATCTGAAGGGGGAAAAGCATTCACTATTAGACAAACAAATACGTGATGCTAATACAAACTTTTACCTTGGGAGTAATGTCATTCTCTTGAGACTAAGGTTCTTTGTATTCATATTCATGTGCCTTGTCATGCAAAACCATCAAACAGAAAATATACTCAAGAGAATGACATGTGTGGCCGGAAATGGGAAAAGCATATGATACACCCAAGCTAAAAGTATATAGCTCACTTCATACACTTTACAAACCTGATATAATGACATGAAAGCGCATAAAAAATAAATACAGGCACATACATTCTTGGTAATAAAAGAAAACCTCTAAAACAGTCCCATATTTTCACTAATCAGTGAGAAGTAAAGTGAATCCCTCAAATTGAGTCTTTTATGTCAAAAGAATTGCCAGGGGCATGGGGACGACCTGGGAATTGGGGAAAAATTAGGTGGGGATCATCAACAAATACAAAGGTTAAATATTAATTAAGATTTAATCACCACACATTTAGTGGATACATTCCCCCTGTGCCCCGCCACTACATCCTCCAATATCAGTGAGACCTGCAATACATGATACAAATAATAAATTCCAGGTTCAACTCACCAGGTTTTGAGAAGGACTGCTGATCATTAATAGGAAAGTGTGTTCCATGATCAGACCTTGATTTTTTTCTCCGCCATAAAATGCTGACCAATAAAATGATGAGTAAGCTTACACCAACAGCTATTACTACTCCAAGAAAAACTGGGTTTTTACTAAAGAAAGTATTATCTTCGTGTTGATGACTTGTTTTTGGTTTTAATTCTAAAAAAAACCATGCTAATATCAATCAATCAATCAATTAAATCTTTATTTAGCACCTTATTTACAATTGTTTAACTTAACATAAAATACAAATAATATGACATCTTTTAAGGTGCCATACTAGCTACAGTAATAAATGCAGATAGTAATGTGAGATCTCATGGAAATTTACCACTCCAAGATGAATGGCGGAAAACACCTAACAGGGATAGTTTTCGCAACCCACTTGATATGGGAGCCAATACATAGAATTATAATTTAGAAGCTAATTTGAGGGAGGAAAGGACAGAAAACCCAGAGGAAAAAAACAACTCTCCAAACACAAGAGAGAACCAACAAACTCTGATCTAGTCACACACCAACATAAGCCTGATCATTGTTGTGACAAGTTTTGGGTCTAAATTATTTTCAAAAATCATTGATTGTTTTTTTTTTTTTAAATGTTATGCTTTACCTAGCACAATCAAAGTGCCATTTTGATGTGCAGCTTGGCCACTTCCTGCTCCATTCTTTGCTGTGCAAGTATAATTTCCTTGATCATCCATGGTTACATTTGATATTGTCAATGTTGACAGCCAAGTTCCCTTCTCCTTTTTTTTAATTTTTGTAATATGATACCTGTTTCCTCGGCAAAACTTGATGCTGTTTTTGACCCAGTGGAACCACATCACAAAGGGTGATCGGGCACTTTTCATGATTGTACAAGAAATACTAATATTATTTCCAACAAAGGTCTTCCATGGACTGGGCTGCAGAATTACTACTGGCTTTTGAAGTACGAATAAGGCTAATAATGTGACAGAAACATACATGATTAATAAGACTAATGTCATTTCCTGAGGGTAAAAGAATAAACATTATTTTCAAGAGGTAATAATTATTATCAATAGTGGGGGGTTATTATAATTATAATAATAATAATWATTATTATTATTATTATTATTATTATCATCATTATTGTTAAATGATGCCTAGTTCCATTTGTAACATGATTGTGTTGGAGTTGATAAGATAATTAAAAGACTACAACCCATACTTACAAGTTACTTTTACCAGGAATGAGTGAGATATATTTCCATATGCATTCTTAGCAATGCATGTGTAGTTGCCTTCATCTGCCTTTCTTATATCATTGATTGTTACAACTTGACCATTGCTTTGTATAACTATCCTGTAATTCCTTGAGGAAAGCAGTTCACCATTCCTATACCAAATGATTTCAGGATCTGGTTTAGCAGTTACACAACATCTTAATGAATTACTTTGTGTAGTGGACCAACTCTTTACTTCTGTTTGAGTTGCATACATGTCATCGAAAACAGGTGGTCCTGGAATAATATGTAATCCAAAAATATGTTCATCATTTTTCAAAATGGATTTCATTGTTCACTTATAAACATTGGATGATGATATTCTATCCACAATGTTTGACACATGTATCTCTGTGTTTGAAAAGTATACATACAAGTTAACATAAAGCAAACCGTAATTTTGATTAATTAGCATATTACCATGAATAGCCAGCTGAGCGGCATGAACATGGCACTCAAAGCATGAATGGACAAATTGACCGCCTTAAATCATTTTTGAAGCTTCAAATAATGAAGTAAACGTGATGGTAGAATGCTGAATTGTTTTTTTTTCTTTCCATATTCCTGCTTCTGGTAGGCATATAAATTATATTTCAGTCCAATGAAAACAGAAAAATATGCAAACGTTGGGTTACAATAACCTGGGAATGAGGGCCAGCGGCAAAACAGCTAAACACACTGTGATTGGCTGAAATAAATTTCACTGCTCAGCTGGAGGAGCCTTCATCAATTTTGTACTTCTGTGCCCCAGTGTAAGCAATCAATAAAATCAATGATCAATCAAAATAAATAACGATTGATAACGATTTGCCCATGAGTGTGACTCAGACTGGAAAAGGGCAGGAATGCTTGTTGTACCTTTTAGGATTCCAGATTTGAAATTTGTTACCAATCACAGACCACCAGAGATTAGCCCTAGCTTAGGGTACAGCCAAAATGCCAGTTGTAATTATATTTAGGATTATAAGTTTTTTCTTTGTTCATTATCTGACTTCTATCACTTATCTTAGTCCTGTCATTCCCTTGGGAACTTAGGCCCTTCATTCTATCACTTAGGTCCTTCATTCTATCACTTAGGTCCTTCATTCTATCACTTAAGCCCTTCATTCCATCACTTACGTCCTTCATTCTATCACTTAGGCCCTTCATTCTATCCCTTAGGTCCTCATTCTATCACTTAGGTCCTTCATTCTATCACTTAGGTCCTTCATTCTATCACTTAGGTCCTTCATTCTATCAATTACGTCCTTCATTCTATCACTTAAGCCCTTCATTCTATCACTTAGGCCCTTCATTCTATCACTTAGGCCCTTCATTCTATCACTTAGGTCCTTCATTCTATCACTTAGGCCCTTCATTCTATCACTAACGCCCTTCATTCTATCACTTAGGCCCTTCATTCCATCACTTAGCCCCTTAATTCTACAGTATCACTTAGGTCCTTCATTCCATCACTTAGGTCCTTCACTCTATCACTTAGGCCCTTCAATATAATATATTAATATATATAATAATATAATATATACATATAATTTATATAATATAATATAATATATGTAATAATATAATATATATATGTTATTTACCGGCCAGGAGGTCCGGATAGGGAAAAACTGTGCCCAAGGTCTTGAAAATACGGACCGAGGCTGTTCTATCACTTAGGTCCTTCATTCTATCACTTAGGTCCTTCATTCCATCACTTAGGCCCTTCATTCTATCACTTACGTCCTTCATTCTATCACTTAGGTCCTTCATTCCATCACTTACGTCCTTCATTCTATCACTTAGGCCCTTCATTCTATCCTTTAGGTCCTTATTCTATCACTTAAGAGAGCTTTGACACTCATTGTTTGATATGGATCACAAAAATAAGTAAAAAAATACGGGGAAAAAATGAATAAGTTATTTACCGTCCTATAGTTGGTCTGGATAGGGCAAAACTGTGCCCTTGGTCTTGAAAACAGTATATTCAAGACCTCGGGCACAGTTTTCCCCTATCCAGACCTCCTGGCCGGTAAATAACATATATATTTTTTCCATTCTATTACCAAGCACTCAAAGATAATTGGTACCTTTTAGGAATATAAGCCATTATTTGCCATTCCCAGCTGAATGAGACTCAGGTATCTTTGAGGAGTCATTCACTTCAGAGTTTCACCAATGCCCTTCTATTTCTATACGCTGGAGAACCCTCCGCTGGGCACAACATTTTATCAATATTTTGATGAACAAATATTTATAATATTGATTTATTCCTTAACAGTCAATATCAATTTATTGATTAATAAAGTTTCATTCAAATGAATGTTCAATATTAAATATTGATTGACATCCAGACAGACAGCATTGTATGGGCTAGCGATGCTGGCTCAGTAAGATGATCAATTGATTGATTTTATCGACTGGTTATATTTTAGTGATTATTGATTGATCATTGATTGACGGATACCAGTCGATATCAAGTACCTAATTATTTCAATTGATATTGAGTTATAAATTTCATATTTTCCCATCACCGATTATATCGATTGCTCACAAGTCTTGATTGTGTGTACACAGAGAAAGTACAAATTCCTCGTGGAATATTCCGTCAAAACCATTTTATAACTGGTATATATTAGTTTATTTTTATTTTATTACAGCACAATAAAATACTTTCTCTGATACTTTACCTGGCTTGTGTGTAGAAACATTCTCTTTGTCTATCAGTTGGCTGCAGTGGTAAGGTGCTGCTCCACTACAAGAACACCATCTTGTGAGAGTAGCCATTGTAAGTACTACCAACATCAAACTATTGATCCAATGTCTAGCTTCACTCACCATCGTGCTTCCCATTTACTCTAAAAGCAAGACGAAAATCTTGTATTTGAAAGGCATTTTTGTCAAATGCAAGCACCTTTGCATCAACGCGACTCACGTATAAAGAATCCGTGCGTAAGAAATGTGGGTTTGATGTCATTCCAGAAGACATGATTTCGAAAATACAATATTCAAGGAAGAGAGATAAGTAATACTTACCAGTCAAGACACCAGGTTACTGTATTAAATATAGAGAAACAAACTTTAAGTGGAGATCGCGCAAAATATTGTAAAATACTCGACAATTTTTCTCATACTAAAATAAACATCTATATATATATATAAAGGATATGACACACACATATGTCATGTGACCGGAAGTCTCGTCAACATGTTTTGCTGTTCCTCGGATCCAGTCTACTAGATGCATTACATGTAACGCCTGGTTGAAACGTGTCTTTATCGTAAAGTGAACGTGCAGCTCGTCCTGATTGTGAAAGAGTGGAAATTACGAGGTTTTTTTCCTTTTAAAGTCAATGGATCGTGAAAGCAAGACGAGGGAAAAGGAAATGTGTGGTGCTTGTGGTAAGGAGGGCGTAAAATATCGATGTCCATCTTGTCTGAGACGAACTTGCAGGTGAATATGAATAATGGTAGATAAGGTCGCTTAAATCGCTTGAGTTTACTATTATTACTATGATTACTATAGTTTACAGTGTGTCARAGACCACAAGGAACGGTTTAGCTGTACTGGGATTCGCTGTAAGACCGCATACGTCTCTAAGAGTGATTACAATGAAAATAACTTAATCAGTGGTATGTATCCATTGACGGTATGCTTGCGTCATGTGCTCTTATTAAACTATTAAAACTATCTAAATGGTTATACTGCTATTTTCATAAATATGCAAACTCTGAAGATGCGAGCTGCATGCTGAAAATTTTTTTTTTGCTGCCGCCAGTCAAAAATATGAAAGGTATCGACAGCGTGCAGCTCACAGCTAGTGAGTTAGTATGTTTATAAAATAAAATAAATAAATAAAAATAAATAAATGGGATTTAACAGTGGCATTTCTACAGGGTAGCTATTCATCCACTGTAATTCCAATTGGAATTTAGGAGTTGATTTTTGCGGAGGGAGGAAAGCTGGAGAACCTGGAAAACCCTCGAAGCACAGGAGAGAACCAACAAACAACTCTACTCACATACGACACTGAACTCAGCAGGACTCAAACCCGGGTTGCATTGGTGAGAGGCGAGCGCTCTCACTGCTATGCCACCCGTGATTCCTTATGAAAATAGCAGTAAAGGAAATTTTAAAGGTGCCGGTTAATCTTAAAAATAAATGAATGATTCTACACAGGCAAAGTGATTATCAGTGAATATTTACCAAGCCACGAGTCTGTAACAGTACCAGTTTATTTAATAGATAGAAATGGATGAAAAAAATGTAATAATATTATTTGATTTGATAGCTAAAAGTATATGAAAACATTCATTATGTCTTTGCATTTTCTTTAGATTATAGACTTCTTGAGGATACCGAAAGAGTAGCATACACAGCACATTCAAGTCAAACCAATAAGACAAGGCACTTCAATCGCAATGTGAGTACTCAAACAAATCTTAATGCATGCTGCAAGGTCGGCCGGTATTAAGAAATAAGAAAAAATATGGAATAGAGTTTTACTTGTGTATTAATTGCTTAGTATCAGTCACATGACTTTTTAGAGTTAACTGGGGCAACTAGTAGCCTGCGTAGCTGCCCAAATTGGGGGGGAGGGGGTAAGGGATGGGGGGAGCTGTGGAGGCCCCGCCCCTTCTCCCCACTGCTATGCAGGCTAGGCAACTAGTGGATATTAAGTCAAAACATATCAAAATAAGTCCTCAAACTATTGTATTTGACTATTTTCTATGACATGAAACCAGAAAACAAGAGATCAAAACAACCTCCAAAATTCTACAAGCCATTACAGTGCAACCACTATAACCAGGGCCACTTAGACAGCAATTACAGATCAAATTGTAGAATAAAAACATACATTCCAATTTTGAGTAGTGGAGCCAATCAGAAAGCAGCAGAAAATGATAGCCTTTTGACATGTTTTTTTTATTTCCATTAAAAAAATGACGATGGCAGACTAGTTGTTTAGGGACTGGTCATTTATTAGAGGGGGGTAGGGGTGGGCTGGTGCATTTTCATTTCCCATGGCATATTTTCTTGTGGCCCTGTTCCTTCAAATGCATAAAGCAGCGAGGCCCCAAGAATGAGAACATAAAACAACATGACCCACCCCCAACTCAGACCCAACCTGGACCTGAGTCTTGAAACACATCGATTTCCTTTGCTATCTTGCATCTTCAAAACTTCTATCAAATGTTTATGTATATTGAATTAAAAATAACAAAAATAAATAAAAAATAAAATTTAGAAAAAAAATGATAAAAATAAATAATGCATGAGGGGGCTGATGAATTGAACTGAATTGCTCATCATAAAATGATGTGAGGTCAATATATAGTAAGTTATAAACCTGGTTAATAACAGTACTTTATATTGACCTCGCATTTATAATGAGGGTTATAACAAAAATAAAGCCTTGTGAATAACCAAGAAAATCGTGTCAATTGAGAAATGAAAGGAAGATACAACACAGCTACCATTTGATTATACATTTTTCATTTTTTTAAGGCTACAAATTTCCTTAAAAAGTCACATGCAAGTGGAGTCATACTGAAACTAATGCCTGTTGGTATGAAGAAGAGAATGCTAAACACTTCATCCTATGACAACAGGTACTATTATCAATCATGCATTTAGTACTTATCTATTGGAAGAGAGGGAAACAGTGTGTTTTGTGGTACTAAGATGGCAATTTAAAAAAAACTTTTAGTTGGGTGAAATCACTTCCGGTTTTGATATTAGTGGGTGGATATCATAATATCGCCACCTCAGAATGGTTGCTGGGATACAGTGACATTCAATTATTATCACATGGCACCCTCTTGGCTGATTAGGCCAGAGAAAAATGGACTTTGATATTTGGTGTATAAAATATGCCATATATATTACACTACGAGGATCTATCAGCAAGTCAACTAATGATTGCTATTCTGCACTAAACTAGAGCTAAAACGATCATGTGGAGAGTAAAGTGGATTTTCCCACAGGCTGATGCAGAATATATTGACAAAAGGTTAGTACGTACTAAACAATCAAAAAGCTACCATATTGAAATGAACCTAACAAGGAATATTTACAACTAGATAAAGAACCGATCACTGGTCGGTGGGTGGATGGATGAATGGATGAGTGGGTGGATGGATGGATGAACAATGACTGACATGTGTATTTTTGACTGATGCACAACATCATCTTTCAGAGTGTCTGAAAAAGAAGTAATTACAGATTTACTGAGGAAGTATCTAGACCCTGACAAAAGTGATCCAGTCATCCAGCAAAGGTATTTGGAAGGGAGGAGATAGACAAAGTGATGACCTGTTGCTTATTTTTGTCAAATGTCAATTTGCATCAAATAATATTCTAAATTTCACCTTCCAGACTCAAGATTTACTTACAGACTGACATTAATAAGATATGTGTCTTATTTAAAAAGGAGTACCAACCAGCCAACCAGGAAAAGTAAGTCTGATGCCAGCCTGCATGGTATTAGGTGATTTCTTCTAATCACTAGTTAACTAATAATTATTTAATTATTAGAAAACATTATATAGCATGGGTGGCGTACTCTGTCACCACCTGTAAGTCCAAAGGTCTGGGTCACTGGTTCAAGCCCTGTGGACAAATGTGAATATTGTGCTTGCTCGATGTGTTGTTCTCCAGTTTCCTTCCTCCGTTAAAATCAACGTGAGTTGAGCATTGTGTGCAAAGAATATTGAATGTAGTGTGTGCATGAAAAAGTATCCCCAATTAGTGCAAAAGCACCAGAACTACTAGATACTTAAATAAAGAGATTTTTTAAAATATTTATAGAATATATTCTTTTTGGATTTTAGATACTACTTGTTGGACACAAGCCAAACTTTACAGCAGAATTTAGCAGGAAAGACAGTTATAGAATTTCCATCATTGCATGTCATATTACCTCAGTTTTCTGACAGCTACCCAAAACATGACACTTTGACACACAGACAAGTACCTGAAATGATTACTCCACAACTGAACATGAATCAAGTGGTATTGGATAATATTATAGATTGCCAATAAATAAATCAAGCACTCTTTAAGTTTTGCATTTTATTGTCAGAGAGTTAATCATCACCACCTGAACAATTTGCAATGTTACAGCTTTAACTTTGCAGTAGTTAAATAAAAACTAAAACTGTAAAACAATCTTGGTTACCAGCTGGAGATGGTAACCCACATTTATATTGTATAATATTATGTATTATTGTGTTATTTAGTATAGCATGCAATCATTGACAGGTCTTGTAAAGGGTTCAGGTGGTGCCTGATGGAGTCCTAGAATACATGGTCATTTTCCACCACCTAGTACAAACAGTGTTGGAGTAATTCATCTGTGTATGTTGTATTTATCGAACAAAAACATCGGTGTTTCTAAAGCTTGAATTGTCTCTGTCGATTAAATAAGATAAGGTGCTATTAAACATGGTACAAGAGGCAAATGATTGTAAAATAAATTCCAATTAGTTGGGGGTACACACAGCTATGCGCACACTTTTTGACACCACATGATACATAATCCAAAAATAATGGCTATTCTAATTTTTATTATATAAAAGTTTATAAAACTTGCTTGCTGTTCTGTATGAAATTTTATTATATAGTTAGGATAGTACACACGCTGATTGGTTGAAAACTGTGCTTTATTAGTGAACGGAGCACAGTGCTGATGCCATCCATGCGCACGAAGTCCTGTGAACATTTTACTTTTTTCATAAATAAATTAAATACTGAAATAAAATGAGTAACTATATGATAAAACGAATAAAGCAGGTTTTCCATGCTTTGTTCAGTAATTAAGCACATAGGAAGTGCCATAAGCACTCAAGAAGTGTGAAAAGCACGAGCCGTATCTCATTATACTTCTTTCATGCTTACATCACTTCCTGCCTGCTTTATTACTGAATGGAACACAGAAAAAAGCTGTTTTATTTGTTCAATAAAGCACTTGCTGATGGGCAGAACATTTCTCCCAACCCTTCTTTTGTGTTTGCCAATCGCTGCATAAGTAATCTTATTCTATTTCTTCGTCATTAGTGCCTTAGATGACTTATAGATGTTTGTCCAGCCAACATCTAAAAATGTAAAACCATTACCTTGCCCCATTCTTTAAAGAATAAATAACTATTAGCTTACTTCATACTATCTTGATGAGCTTTATACTCCATGATGGTGTTTGGGGGTAGGTTAAGAACTCTCTTTAGGGTGTCCCTAGAAACAAGCAGATTGTCATGATATGGTTAATATCTCAACAAGTGATTGCGTGTGACATCACCATTATTATCATTTGTACTCTATCATGGCCCAGACACAATGTGACACTGTTTGCAAATGGGAAATCACACAGCGTGTCCAACTGCAATTGTTGTGGCCTACGTTGACAGAGTAGAAATGAGTTCTACTTTTGCAACTTCCAGTGCAACAGTTTCAAATTCCCCACTGCACAGGGACATGGTGCAATTTTCCTTTTGCATGCAGATTTGTAGGCAGTGTGTTTCCAATCCTTTATGCACAATTCAATTTATCCTTTAACCTTATTCTTGTTGTAGTTGCTTGGTCTGAAGCATTTCTGTTCCAAATAGAGATGATGTCCTCCTTTAGAACACAAAAGGAATATTCATCAGAGAAGACTAGTTAGGTGTGGCTAAGTGCAGTTAGTACACTGCCATCAGACCAAGAGCTTAATACACAAATGTAGTTTTACTTTTAAATATGAAAGAGGGGGGAAAGGCCCGGGGGGGGGGGGGGGGTACTCCGATATATGGACTATACAGGGATGATCCACTGAACAGGGTATGGTTTTTCGAGCTCTTGTCATAAACAGGGTATGCAATTTCACTCAAGTTCCAATTTCTTCCTGAGTTTCCTGTCATATTTCCCTGTCATAAGGGTTTCTACTTTCGTATTGACCGAAACTGGTTTTTATGGTCGTCAAAAAACAATACGCGAGATGACATGATAATTGAAACAGGAACTCAGTGCAATAAATTATATCTTTTGTCATAAACAGGGTACCCCTTTCAGAATGCCAGTGGAACACCCCTACCCAAATTCTGGCAGAGTACCCCCCCCCCCCTTCCCCGGGGGAAAGGACACTGACTAAAGAAACGACCACTATTGAAGGGTATTTTTTTGTTGGTTTTCATTTACCAGTATGTTGCCATATCGGAAATGGTCAGTAAATAAGCCAACCACTTTACAAACACTTTATTTTTATGTTACCCAACTTCAAGGCTAAAAAGAATGGCTAATTAATGGCCAGGCATGAAAACTGACCACAATGGACTGATTATCATGTGACCAGACAATGCCACTGGTCAAGAGGATTGGCATAAGGTATTTGGCAGGACGTTATCTGTCGACCAGCCATTATTTTTAGCCATTGCAATGCTTCCTTGTCAAATTGGACTGCAATGCATTACCTGAAATCTGATAGAAATAACAGCACCACAAACTTCAGATCCAACCATAAACTGCTCCCCTAACATAGCAAGCACCTAGGCCACACACAGATAAGATAAGTAGCAGATAAGTAATGACCAAATAGGTTTACCATGTTGCAGTCATGATATGACAAGTAGCAAGCATGCAATAAATGCCATGTCAGTCTTTTACAGTATATGTATATTCATATGCATGCCAACAGGAAAAAATCTGTTAGAAGCCCTCCCGCTTATAAGCCCTCCAACTAGTCCCCTAACACAAATATTCTTCAGTTATGAGCCCATCTGGGAACTGGAATCTCCTGTTTCATTGAAGCAACATGAGAGATTAACCACTGAGAATGTAAGAGAAAGAAATAACCATTTTGTCTTTATTCCAAACTCTTTTTCCTCCTGAGTCCTCTCAGTTACATGTAGTAGCCTTATAACTGGAAGTTTATGGTATTTTTTAAGTATGTATCAGAAAGTTGACAAGGTTAAGACCAGGACAGTTACATACCAAGTTTTCCCAGCACCTTGAAGCTAATCCTTTCCTTAGTCTTACTATCCATTTTCCTCCACCTTTGTTTGCTTCATCCTATAAATTAGCAAAACATCTTACAGATTAAACATCTTGTTTTTTCACTATACATGACAGATATAAAAACTTGTTATCACTAATCACCACTGCAAGTACAACAGCGGAGCAGCTCAACAGGGTTGAATTAAAAAGCATGTGAAGGCACCTCTGGGGCAGCCACTATACAGTTTATGTATGACTCAGAAGTACAGCTCTTACCAGTTTGAATTAGGTAGATTTTTTTAGGTAGAAATAAATACAGGGCAAGAAAAACCCTCAGAGTCTAATTGTTTACATCAGCCCTGGGTTGTTACAATCTTAGCATGTGCCCTGAAGTAAGGACCTTTATAATCATAAGTGGTGTAGTATTGTGTAGTTGTGAGTGAGTATAATACCTCCCAAATGGGCTTGATACCATCTTTAAACAAATGGATATCACAATGTGCCGTTAATTCTCCTGGCATAACCATGTAGCTGTAAAATGCCCAGAACTGTTCAACCTGCAGACATCAATCAAGCATGTAAATCAGATTATGACATGTACATGTTTTTAAGATCAATTTTATTCTAGACATTTTGGTTCTTCCTTGTACTCAGTTGTTGCTTTGTTATTTCAGGGCTTAAAATAACAGAACATTCATCATACAAAGACAAAACACAAGAGACCATTTGTGTCTTTTGTTTAATGAATGTTCTGGTTGAGTGATAGCAACTATTAGTCACTAACTACTAAGCTTTATTTTCATTTTTATGTATATTTTTAATTCATTTTATTTCATGGTTTTACTGCATGCCCTCTATTGAAAAGCTACACAAATAAGAAAAAAATACTCACAGATGCAAATTTTCCCACAATCTTGATGTTGTTTTCATAATTACTGGGAGACTGGATTTTACCAGGCGGTCGTCTCGAAAACCAAAACACATAAGGACATTGTAGAGGATTTTCTCCTGGATTTGGTTTTACTTCTTTAGCTTCAAGCTATAACACACACATTCATAAGATGTTAGTACACATATATTGTTCAGTGAATCAAGGGTGGTGTTTACCTCGTACCTGTAGTACATTTCACTCTTAACTCTGGGGTCGAGTTCAATTCCTGGACTTCGCAGCATATGAATAAAGTTTGCTAGGCCTCCCTTCATTTGTGGGTTTTTTTTCAGGGTTCTCCAGTTTACCTCCCTCTGCAAAACCTAACAAGCTAAATTTCAATTCCATCTGACCAATCTGTGAGTTAGCAGTGCCATAAAATTCATCAGCCCAGACTTCAGTCTTGGATCAGATCTGAGAGTTAGCAGTGTCCTAATTTAAATCAGCCCAGAGATCGTTTCAGGGTATTGATAAAATTTGAAATATGGGAAGGCATCTTCTTTTTACCTCTGCTTGATATTTTTTCCATTCCTCTTCATCTGCTGTGTCTGCATCAAATGTTTTTGTTCCATTTTCCTAAAGATAACAAAGTGTAATTGACACACAACATTTCAGAATGAATTTCCAAAAATGATTTGGCTCTTTCAAGAATGAGAATACTGGTGATAATAGGTCTCATAAAAGTGAGAATTAGTGCAAAGTAGTGCAAGTTATAATGCCTTGTTATTAAATAATATACAATGTCCTTTTTTTCATAAGAGATTCAGGGCCGTAACCAGGGGGTTGCACAGGGTGCACGTGCACTCCCCCTTAAAAGCTTAAGGTCCGCTCATCCATCTCCTTTTTTTTTTTACTTTTTTTTTTTTTTTTGGTTCTGCTATCTTTTGGTTACCTTTTTTTTTTCTCTTTGGTTCTGCAAATTATTGCCTGTGCACCTACCTGCAAGATCCCTAGTTACGCCACTGAGTAATAAAAAAAGCGATCAATGGTCCGATTTTATTCGATGTGCACCCTCCCTGTAAAAGTTCTGGTTACGGCCCTGCGATTTTGATTCAAGTAAGAGATTTATCAAACAAGCAAGTCAAAAGACAACTCACTTGTATGTACAGATGCAAAAAAGGATTTTTACTTAGAAATAAAATATGCTTTGAACAGTAATTGGTAAAATTATTAATGAAGTGTGCCAGCTCTTAATGCTTTTTAAGGGCATGAACAAAGCTGGGGTTTTATTATTATCATTATCTTCATCATCATTCTCATAATTATCATTATTATAAAGAAAACATTTTTTTCGTAGTTTTCAATGTTGGTTTTTTTGTTCAAATATTTCACAGTTCTCGTCCAATCACAGCAAGCATATCAAGTTGATTGTAATAAAAGCGGTTACTAAATAACAATAAATTAAATCTAAATTTATTAAGTCATATACAGAGCAGGCCAGGGTGAAATAGATGTAAGGTCGCGGTAATAATGATGCAAAGATGAGAATATGTGGACCACGTAGCACTTATGAAATAAATGAAGATAATTACATAATTACTGCGACCTAACATCTATTTCACCCCGGCCTGCTCTCAGTCTGACTTCTAGCTCAGCTGGTAGAGCATCGGTAGTTCATTACCGAAGGTCGTGGGTTCACTTCCCAGCGAAGTCGGAAATTAAGTTTTCCGAATTTAATTCCAAGGGTCTTTCGCCCGGAATAACCTCATTCCCAAGCACTATAACTTATCTATATTTCTATATCTTCATGTATTTCATAAGTGCTACGCGGTCCACATATTCTCATTTTTAAGTCATATACAGATGTTTCAAAATGGTTTTGCTACATGTCATTGATTACCAAGATTGAAATGTATCATCTTCATCAGTAAATAAAGTCATTGCAAAAGAAAATATGCTGTAAAAACGTGCAGACAAAGTGTGGGACAATTCTATAATGTTGTGACCTTTTGCTGATTTAAGTCACTCATATTTACCCATAGTCAAGAGAGCATTAATAAGAGAGGGAAACATTTTAATATGGGGTGCGCCATGTGTATTTCTGGTRGGGCTATTTTTAGAAATTGGATGCAGCTTAAATTTTGCCTTGCCCTACTCCTGTGTGTCAACTAGCGTGCTTATTCTCTTTCCTTGTACGTTTTTAGTGATCAAAACAACAAATGGAAAGATTACGGGAGTAGGGTAAGGTGCAATTTAAACTACATCCCATGTTTCTAAAAATAGCCCAACCAGGAATTCACATTGTGCTCGCGATATTAAGAAGTTTCCTATCTTATTTATGCTCTCTTGCCATAGTGCATTTAAGGCTTGGTATGCAACTTCCACCAAAACCTTCACCTATTTTGGAATAGCTGTATCAAGTCATGCCCCCATACACAAGCAAGGATGTGAAGTAAGCCCCAATTGTGCCCACTTTTTTGTGCAACACTTCCAACAACTCCTGCCTTTGAAGGTTGCAAATTTTCCTATCTTTCATCTCGACATTTACTACCTAGTTTCCCTACACAATTTAAGTTTAAAAAAGCTTTATATATGTAATTTGTGCGCCATTCAGCTGTGTTATGTTTTCCGTATAGTACTGTAGCACGTACTATAACACGATACACAGCAGCCCAATAGATTAACAATAATCCACCAACCTTTTTTGAATTATCTCCATCTTCATCTTCCTTGTCGTCTGTACTGTCATCGTTATTGGAATCATCTAGTTTGAGGCTATGAACCACAAAACATCACATCGATTAAACAACAACTCACGCCAACATGGCCGACAACAACACGTTAACAACCAATACTCACGCATCAAATTTGTTCATTTTTGATATAAATATTTCCAAAAAATATCCTTATATAAAATATTTGCTTCTATTTATAAAATAATTCTATTATATACAATATTTTGACAATAAATGACTGTGTTTTGAACATCAAATCTTCAATTTTGACTCGTTCTTCGTGTTTTTCTCAATCTGAACACTGCGCATAATCATCAGCCCTATCCCGCTGACTAAAACTGCGGGCTATAAAACAACACACGTACTCTGGGGGAGTGGGGAAAGGAATGGTTTTCAATTAATCAACAATTCCTTAATAATTGGTTTAAAATTCTCTTTTTTAACTCTATATATTTTTTAAAATGTAGGCATCTTTTTAAAGATTATTGAAAAGCTTAGGACATTTAATAATATGCATATCATGTAGCGCAACAAATTACTCACCCTGTCCCTCCAGGGTTATGGTTGTGGTGTTGATCTCTTGTTGCCGGCATGGAAGGCGCGTGACTTCTATTTGGTTCATTTGACAGAAGGTAGTTCTGCACAATATCCTAGAATTATATTCCCTGTTTTAAGCCATCAAATCCAATCCTTCCTGGATTACTTCGAGAAAAACCTTTATGAGAAGACTTGATGAATTCTGGGTTGATGAAGTGGAAACGTTTTGCAATTGTTTCGGTTTGATTTGTTGTCGCACTAGAACTTTTGTCTCATAATGACACCGGTCTGTAAAGGGTTTCTGGTTTTCCTTGCTGTAGGACAACTGATTATGCTGGTCCGATCGTCCCGATTCATTCATGGTCGTCCTAAAGGAGGTTTACTACCGTCACCTCGATTGCCAGATGGACATAAAATACCAGAAGAAAACTGGTTTACTCAAAAACTCGATCATTTTGACGACTCAAACAGGAAAACCTGGCAACAGAGGTTCTTTTTTAACGACACCTTTCGTCAAAAGGAAGACAGTCCTGTCTTTTTGATGATAGGAGGCGAAGGCACTGCTAATCCTGTGTGGGTTGTCACCGGTAATATGATGAACTATGCACAAGAGTTTGGAGCGATAGCTTTCTTACTAGAGCACAGGTTTTATGGGAAGAGTCACCCAACAAGGTAAGTACTGATGTCATGCACATTCAATTCATAAAGTATATATTACATAATATTAGAATAATATATGTATTTTATGGCAACTTCTAAGGCAACAAGTCATATATGTTCCCCATTTATTAATTTACTGTTTTGGAGTGAATTTGTGGGGGAAAATTTAAGTAAAATTTGTACCCCCATACAATATTTTTCAATAAAAAACGTACCCCCCCCCCTCCCCCCTCTTCATCGTCATTTCGTTTACTATTTTTCTTAAGAAGTTTACTCCTCCCCTTTTTTATTTCTCTAAAACAAAGATTACCCCCCTCAAATAACAGTCGACTCTCTTTGAACAACCACACTCGTAAGCGACCATCTCCTGTAAGCGACCATTTTTTGAAATTCCCATTTTGTTTCCCATATAAACTCTGTAAAAACTCTCTCATAAGTGACCACTCTCGTAAGTGAGTGCGACCACCTTTGGGGTTAAAATTTTGGAATTTTTTATTGCTTTTCCTCTTTGGTAAGCGACCACCCAAGAGCCAGTAATGATGACAGATCCTTTAACAATAAACATGTGTTGCATTTATTTGCAGTATAAAGATTGCATGAATTAATAAACTGTCATACATTTCCGGTTACTTGAGATTTTAAAGTGTTTAACTAAGCAAACACAATGTGCTATACTTGTATACATGTAACTGTACTTTATAAAAATATCCTACTGAATATCCATCAATTTTGAGATGTCATAATTAAGTTTTTGTAAATGTTTCTGAAGCCAAGGCATCAATGTTTTATTATCTCCATAAAAGATATATTTACAGGGAATCTCCATATTGACGATTACAGTACTGTAAACATATAGCACATTCAAAGTTTTGATTAAAACAGTTTAACATTAAATACAGCAGTTTTAACACGTGAGTTAGAAATGTGTTAACTCCTGTGTTAACTCTCTCTGTGGTCGCTTACGTGAGAGTCAACTGTACGTTTTTTCAAAAGTCTACCCCCATCTAAAATCCCCCCCCCCCCCCACAACATGATAAAGTCCCTTATCACTACTTGATTTGAAGTGAACCACTTGGATTTGTTAGAGTCATGAGGAGATTTGCTGACAACTAGAATGCCTTGATGAGCTCCATAACCCACCTTAATATTAATAATTTGTAGTGAGGTACAGTATGAATATTTTCCTCCTTACAAATTCAACGTTTAAAGGTAATATCTCGATGCCTGATAGATTAAATTTTCATTTACTAATCTTATTATTTGATGATTCATACTCAGTGATCTTAGTGACGATAGCTTGAAGTACCTGAACAGTGAACAAGCCTTGGCAGATTTGGCAGCATTCAGACAAGCCATGGCTGAGAAATTTAACCTTACCAAGAGCAGATGGATTTCGTTTGGAGGATCTTATCCTGGTTCATTATCAGCCTGGTTTAGGCTCAAATACCCACACTTGGTTGATGGTAAGTGTGCTCTGCTTTAAACTATCACTCAGACGTCCTAACGACACCTGTTGATCAGTAAATAAAGAAGAATTAATAATGATATATATCATGGCATTGATATTAGGTGCAGTTGCATCAAGTGCTCCAGTGAAGGCACAGCTACACTTCCCAGAGTACCTAGAGGTTGTAGCAGCATCTTTGAATACTACAGGGCCAGAGTGCAATAAAAACATTCAAAATGCAACACAACAGATTGATAGACTTGTGCAGACCTCTGGAGGCATTAAAGAACTTACACAGACATTCAGGTACTATGTTGTTATATTAGTGAGCCCATGTAATATACTGCATAAAATGCAGAAATAGACTGTACCTTCACCCACACTCTTTCCCCCTTGAGCTCTTTGACCTCCACCTCAACATTTTCAGCAAAAAGACCAACATATCGTATAACTGTAGTGCTTCTTTACTACTTTCTTTGCAGGCTGTGTGAGCCTCTAAACAACAGCAATGTTAATGACGTTAGTATATTTTCATCAGCACTGGCAGGGAATTTCTTTGGTGTAGTGCAGTATAACAAAGATAACAGAGCATTTGAGGTACATAGTTTTCATTTTTTTAGGGAATACTGTATTAAATTAAGACTTGTTCATCATCAGAGAATTAAGTCAATCCCTTAAAGGATGTCAAAAGTGGGACTTAAACCCACAACATAAAAAAAAACACATCTTTATACACAAACTAGACTTGTTAATATTGAAATGTTGGTATATCAAAACTCATACAGGGAGTGCCAGGGACTAACATCACCATAGACACCATTTGTTCCATTATGGACAATGATAAGTTGGGTGATCCATTGAATCGGTATGCTAAGGTCAACTCTTTGATGTTGGACACATATGATGAGAAATGCCTTGACACTAGATGTGATAACAGCGTAGCTTCAATGAAAAATGTCTCTTGGGCTGGAAGTGCTGCAGAAGGAGGTGAGTATATTCCTTTTCTTTATTCATTAAAACTATTTGGCTTGTTTAAAGTGCTACTACGACAAAAATTGCTCAAACTTGGATTCAGCTGAAACTTCCTAAAAATACTCTTTAAAGGTCCAATAATCACTCTATGAAGTGTTTTCTCGATATTCAGTACGAAAGTATGATATTTTTACGATTATTTTTTGGAATCTGTGACGTCATACACTCAACATCAAACATTGCTACATATATTTCTTTGTATATAAATCCTTAATTTATTTTGAAGCCCAAAGGGTGGCTAATGTGCTTATTTCACATTACTTGTGACTATAATTTATATTTTGGGGTGTTTGGGTATTTCTTGTAATGTAATGTATGAAATGTATGGAACGATGTTCGATGTTGAGTGTATGACGTCACAGACTCCAAAAAATAATCGTAAAAATATCATACCTTCGTCCTGAATATCGAGAAAACACTTCATACAGTGATTATTGGACCTTTAAAGAGTATTCTTAGGAAGTTTCAGCTGAATCCAAGTTTGAGCGATTTTCGTTGTAGTAGCACTTTAACAAGCCAGGTAGCACTTTATAGCTATTGGCTAACTACAAACTTGTGGCCCTTCGTCTATGACCATATAGAAGTACATTTTTTTGGAGGATGGAAAACCAGTGAATGTCAAGAACGAAGAGGCAACTCCGCTTTTATGACAGTTTGAATTGTTAGAGGAGTAAACCCACAACCATTTGTAATGTGAGCGAGGCATCTAGTGCATTAACAGAGCACACCATCCATGCATGTTTCTCTTCAACCTTTAGTATAGACTTATTTTCGTTCAAGAGCAACAACCTACTTCAATGTTATTTCTCTTTTTTTTTTTAATGATCAATATATACATATTATTTAACATAACCAAAATACACTAAGCACTAAAGAATCTAGAATGACAAATGTGTTTAGCTATGCTAAGTGCAATTCTTATGCTTCTTTCATGCTTAGCAGCCTCCTAGATGCATCCATAACTCGTTGGATGCACTTTAATTGTGAACCTTTTCTTCATTTGTAGCTTAGAGATACAATGTTATGGTTGTTTTTAGGCAGACAGTGGTTTTATCAGACTTGTACAGAGTTTGGATTTTATCAGACAACTGATACCAAAGAGCAGCCATTTGGCAGTCACTTCCCACTGAGGTATGCAAATGTGATACATAAGTCTGTCTACCATGTTTATCTGTTCTCATTGCATACAACAGGTTAATAGGCAATGGACTGTTGTCAATCAAATTGTTTCCCAGTACCTATGTACCCTCATGATTGTTTGATTGATGGTATGTTTATTGTTGTTAGAGTTAATTGTCTTGATTGTCAAATATTAAAAATAATGGTGACACCTCGCTCCCAAATTGTCTTCATAAATACAAACATTTGGTTATATTTTTTTTAACTTGAGTTGCTGAATGTTTAAGGGTTTCTTTCAATCTATATTTAACTTTCAGGTACTATGTCCAACAATGTGAAGATGTGTTTGGTAAATCCTTCAACAAGCCAAATATCCAGAGTGGCGTGAAACAAACTAATACCAATTATGGTGGGCAAGGGATTGCTGGCAGCAAGGTACTGTACTCTCATCAAACACTCATTTCCATATCTGAGTAAAAATGTATATTCATGTCTTTTAATTATATGTAGATTGTTTTCCCAAATGGCTCCATTGATCCATGGCATGCACTCGGCATTACCAAAGATGTCTCTGCAACAGAGCAGGCAATCTTCATTGAAGGTGTGATATACTGTGTGATATTCTGAGTGATGTACGGTGTCATATACTACAGTATGTGATATACTGTGTGATATACTGTGTGATATACTATGTGATATACTGTGT